AGCCGACATGTGACAGTTGCATTGTCACACGTCGGCTCGAACTATGAGGATGAGTGATTTTCACACACCATAGTTCTCCTTTAAGTTTAATATATTAAACTTTACTTTACTATTTATTACTAGAGTCTAAAATTTTAAACAGAAAAAAAAAGTTAGGCCGAAACCGAAAATATTTTTTCTTTTTTTTTTAATTATCATTTCTTATTGTTTTGTTTAAACTTTTTTTACATTTTCATTTAATAATTTTTTTTAATTATTTTTAAAAAAGCCCCTGTATGATAGCATTTGGAGGTGACAAGTTCCCTTTATTGAACCTTTAATTTCCAATACAGTGTACTGTGCTGGAACTTCTGTGATAGCTGAGAGGTGAAGGGTGCGAGTGCAGCTCTCCCCTCTCACTGTTTACATGGAGCCAGGGCCGGACTGGCCATTGTGCATACTGGGCACAGTCAGCCTGATTGTGTTCAGCCTGGCCGTCCCGCTATGCCCAATGCATTGCGTCGGGCACTTGGTTGCCCGATGCCATGCATCAGCCTGCTCCATGCGCTGTACTGGCCTGCTCCGAGCAGGGCAGTGAGAGCATGAGAGTGGTTTCTCTGATCTGGCCGCCCGCACTCCAGTTGCTTGGTGTGCTGGGTTACTGACTGGGTCTGTCTTTCTCCAGTGCCAGAAGCAGCGGAGGGGGTCCTGGCAGGCTCTATTAGAAGCAGGCAGTTGAGATCAACCCAATAGGAACTCATACTTGCCCAAATGCTCCGATACCTTCCCCGATACCGGAACTTTTGATTTAGAGGAATATTTCCTCTGAACGGCAGTGCCGTAAGGGAACATGAAGCCGGCCTCCCGAGCAATGAGGAAGGTGGGCTGCGAGTAATGACCCACCTCACGGCTTCCTTGGTGATTGGCTGGTAAGCCGGCCGAAGAGCCGACTCGATGCTGATTGGCTGGTAAGCCAGCTTTCCAGCCAATCAGCATTAAGTCAGCTTGACGGCTGATCAGGAAGCCAGGAGGTGGGTCATTACTTGCTGCCCGGATTTCTGATTGGCCAGGAAGCCGGCTCGATCACAATCGAGCCGGCCTAACAACATTGAGCCGGCTTCCCAGGCAATCAGGAAGCAGGCAGCATGTTATTACCCGCTGCCCACGGCTTCCTGATTACCCGAGAAGCCGGCTCCATACCAGGTATTGGTACGCGGTGTTGGTATCTGCGAGTACTGAAAGCAAAATATCGGTACTCTTAACCGAAAAACCGGTATCAGTGCATTCCTAGTATTCTGCATTGCTGTATAATGTATTGCTGGGATTTGTAGTCCTCTGTAGCTGGTGGTTGTTGCAAATTATGATTGAAATAGATTAGGTATGGGTATATTTAGGGTGTATGCTTATGTATTGAAGGAAATTCTTTTGGCTGATGTTATTTAACACATCTATGCTAACTAGGATTTTATTGTGCAAGTTTCTTGACCAGTTGACCATACTGTTTTTCCATACCATCAGTCCCTTGAAGCCACTCCGTGGGAGCTCCTGGGAAAATGGGAGAACAGAGAAGAACACTAAGGCTGGGGGAGCAAGGGAGAAGGCAAGAATTGTGCATGAAAAATGCATGCAAATGCTCTGGGCCGCACCTGAAAGCCCATTTTAAGCTAAAAAAAAACTGCTCCAGAACTTGAGAAATTTGTTGTAAAAACGCTGCAAAAACATGTCAAAACGCAAAGCACCGTGTTTCAGATGTGCTCCGGAAAATGGTGTGAACCTGGCCAAAGTCTAGAGATACCTGAAGTTCAGCTTTAGGGCAGGTTCTCACCATTTTCCGGGACCAGGTCTGGTCCGGAAAATGGTGAGAACCTGTCCATAGTTCCATTGCATTCGGACTGGAACGGTGTGAACAGAGGCCAGAAATAGCATAGGGATACATTAGGATGCATTTTGGGTCCAGAAACAATCTGGTCTGGTCTGCAGATGATCTGGATGTGGTGTGGATGGGCCCTCAAAGTAAACTTGAGAAACACGGAGGGTAGGGTTGCCACCTTTTCTTCAAGCCAAACCCGAACACTCTAGCGACACGCAGACATTTTTTTGGGAGAATAAGTCGTAGCTTATTCATATGTGCATAGCGCCGCCCATTCATATGTAAATATCACAGTTGAGACTGTTTTCAGTGCGGGGCCAGTAGCCCCTATCTTAATTTTGGTTGTCCCTGTCTGCTTGACATCTTGTGTCCGGGTTTCTGATGCCATGAAACCCGAACACAGCATTCAAAACCCGCACTGTCCGGGTGAATCCTGGACAGGTGGCAACCCTAACGGAGGGTGGGATTAATTCAATACTGAAGGTCCCCACAAACCGTACGATAATCGCGGGAAATCCCGCGATCGTACGATTATCGTAAGGTGTGTGGAAGCCGTGCGACCTCTACTACTGTAAGGCCGCACGACTTTAAACTTACGAACATGTTTCAAAACCCGCCGAGCATCGTGCGATGTTCGGCGGGTGTGTAGCATGTTCGTGAGATAAAAGTCGGACGGGCCGGTGTGCGCAAGCGCACAGTGCCTGTTCGGCATTGCGGTCATCGGTAACCTGCCCCTCAGGGGGGTGGCTTGCGATCATCGCAAGTACGATCTGCCTATGCAAGATAGGCAGATTGTACGTTTTTTTAAGTACCTTACAACCATCGCAAGACAAAAGTCTTGCGATGGTTGTAAGGTGTGTGCCCAGCCTAAGACTAGCCATACATGTCATCTCGTTCAGCCAGACGCCCCGTGTGCCAGCTGTCTAAATATAATGCCTGATAGGATGCAGACACTGAGAATTTTCTACTCGGCTCCTTTGATTTTTCTATTTTTTAAAGCGCATCTGACTTTATCTCTCCTGATCTGTACATTCTGCTCTGGTCATTGACGCATATCGATCAGGAAACTATTATTTTCTGAAGAAGGGCAGTGATGGCTGCCCCTTAATCGTCCATATTTCTGTTATTTGCCTTACATGGCAACAAGGTATTGATTTCTGTATATCTGAGGTTCTGCTTCCACCTAGTGTATGTGTAAGGAAATTGATTCCAGAACACACTGCAGATTGCTTTGAGGGCTTGTTCACACCAAATGCAGACCAGATCTGCATGAGTTTCTGCACACACAGTGCAGTGTGTTATAACGCGTTTTCTTGGCTCATTTTTGATGCGTTCCGGGGCGTTTTTGTTTTAAATATATATTTTTGGTTTTTTTTTTTAAATGGGCTTTCAGTGCGTTCCAGGGCGTTTGCATGCGTTCCAGAGCAGGTAAAATAGGGCTTGCTGCAGTTTTTTTTTACGTTCTGGAACTGAACGCTGTGGTGTGAACTAGAGCCCAAAATACCATTGAAATACATTGGACGCAGTTTTGATCCGGTCTGTAACTGCTCTGCTCTGCACCTGGAACGCGCTTGGTGTGAACAAGCCCTAAGGGTCTGTACACATCTGTCACATTGCTTGTAGTGTAGTGCATTTTGTTTTACCATGGGCACCGTAAAAAACAATAAATAGATGTGCGTTAGGAAGCGCAAAACCCTATTTATATCTCACATGCATTTTAGTGTAGTTCAGTTCTTTCCAGCAGGCTGATTGTTTGTTCACGCCATGTCCGGATCATGTCCAGACCAGAACAGTTTGTTCGCGGACCAAAAAAGCATCCACATGTATCCCTATGGTATTTCTGGGCACTGTTCACACCAGTGTAGTCTAGACACACAAAAAAACTAATTTTTTGGGGGGTCCGGAACAATCGATATGCGGAGAGTGATAAAAGCTTTAGGTTTCAAGTGTAAATTAATAAATTACAGACTGCTGCATGTCAAAGAGCATGTCAAGAAAGATTCTTGGGGCTCGATTTATTGTAAACATGTTTCAAATGCCTTTTTTTTATATACCATCATAGTATACACCTGTATTTTATTGTGCAAACAATGTCAGCTGTGTGTTTTAAATAAATATATATACCGTATTTTGTTCTTCATAAGGCGCACCTGACCATAGGACGCAGGGAGGGTAGGGTTCTGTGTAGTTAGTGACAGCTGAGACAGGTGGCGCTGTGATTACAGCGCCACGGTCTCAGTGATCACACAGAGCAGACGAAGAACGGACGTTCTTCGTCTGCTCTACGGGCTCTATGGTGAGCTCCTATGCCGTGGTCACGGGTCCCCCAGAGGGCGGAGGGGATCGCCGCTGCTCCTTTCATACAAGTGATCTAATCAGATCACTTGTATGAAAACGAGCGGCGGCTCCACACTATACTTTTAGCTCTGCTTGTCCGGGGCAGGGCTAAATGTACAAAAAAACTACTCGCCTGGCGCCCAAAACGGCATGTCCCGGACGTCGTGCGATAGGGATTCCCTCAGCTCTCACACGTTCGCTCCATAAGAAGCAGAGACATTTTTGCCCGCCTTTTGGGGGGGAAGTGCGTCTTATGGAGTGAAAAATACGAGAGATATATATATATATACATACATACATACATACATACATACTGTATTTATATTGTTTTAAGGAAAATGGATGGTTGTTTTAAATCTTTATTATATTTTGTTTGTAATTGTTTATGCCTTATATGGTTCACTTATGAACTGTATGCGTATGCATATGTGTGAGTGACCATGATAAGAATCTTAAAATACTAGATTAATGTTGTCCGCCTGTGATTAGGTGGCTTTGCAGGAGATTGTCTTGAAGATTATCCCTTACCACCTTCCCAAGCAAGTCCATCTTTACAGTTGGATAAATCACTGAGCTCAGCTTTTTGTCTTCCAATAAGATTATGAGGAAGTTAAAAATTGGGGCCCATGCCAGGCCTTTTCTTCTTTGCTGGACTATAAAAGATGCTTTTCCATGTCACCTGCATTGTATTATAGGGAAAGGTCCTCTGTCTGCACCAGTGGACCATCAACGGTCGCAGCTCAGAGGGTTCCAGTTGCTGGGGTTGGAAATCATCTTTTCTTCACCTGTCTAGCTAACATCCCTAAGTTCCAAAATGAGCAAAGGCCGACCAGATATCAGGATGGAAATGCCGGATGAATTCTACATCCCCATTCCTCTGGAAACAACTAACATTACGGCTCTTAGCCCGTTCCTGGTACCCCAGACGCATCTGGGAACCCCAGGCGTTTTTATGAGTATGTCGGCCTTCATGTTGTTTACCATAATCTTTGGCTTTCCCCTGAACGTTCTGACCATCATCTGCACTATCAAGTACAAGAAACTGCGTTCCCACCTTAACTACATCCTGGTAAACCTGGCTGTTGCCAACCTTGTAGTAATCTGTTTTGGTTCCACCACTGCCTTCTACAGCTTCTCTCAGATGTATTTCGCAATGGGTACTTTGGCATGTAAGATAGAAGGTTTCACAGCCACCCTTGGAGGTATGCCTTTTTTATTTTTTTTATCGATACCTTACCAACATATCGATGTCTTACCAACATCAATCTGTAAACATTGTTATTTGTCCGAGATATACTGATTTACATTAAACCAATTTGTAAAAAGAGGCTTATAACATGCAGCAGTACGTATGTCTTTATTTTTATTGTCTTTTGTCTATTTCAGCCAAGTGGAAATTCTCAATTTGTCCATTGAACTGCTTAGGCAATATTTGCTTGAGTATATTTTGCTTGGGGGGGGGGGGCTGGTAGTGCTGCATTTTAAGTCGTTTAAAAAAAAAATAGTGTTCTTTGTATTTCTGTTTTGCTTTTACTTCAATGCATTTTAAAGAAATGGAGACATTTTTCTCCTACTACTAATTTAAACTGCATTTTTCGGGATATATAAATTCTCCATTTCACTCATCCCTAGTTATTAATGCAGAACCATATCAGTCTGAGCTCTGCTGTACATCGACTACAAGAAACTAAAAACTAAGTTAATTCATGGACTTACACTGCTGGCATGTAAAAATGTAATTTAATGGTGTAATAATGAATACAGAGCTGCATTAGTTTGTGTCTTTTATATCTGCCTGGAGGTCAGCTTTAAATAGAGAGAATCAAATTTACCGTAACAGCAGTGTAATTTCTACAATATTTCACATGATCTAGCTTCTCTTGTGGGAGAAACACTTTAATTTGATTTGATTAGAATGAACAGACTACATATGATCTATTCCTCTAGCAGATCACTCAAACTCACACATTATTGCCAGCATTCTTTGTGACTCACTTCTGCTAATATACTCCAGAAACTTCCTTCAGCCTCCCTTTACTCTGCACTCTGAATATGTGTTAGAGCAGCCTTTTCTCAACCAGGGATCAAAGGAACCCTATGGTTCCTTCAGAGTTTGTTAGGGTATCAGAGAGCAGTAGTGGGGTGATCAGTGGCCTGTACTAAACACCAGTGTTAGGGCACATTTCTCCACTGACCACCAATAATAATTCTAGATATGCTATATTATTCTTTATTTAAACGTTTCTACAACTTACCACTGAGTTTTAGATATCATATTATTTTAGCAGAGGTTCTTTGAGGCCTAAAAGTTACTTTAATGGTTTCTTTGTGGTAAAAAGTTTGAGAAAAATTGTGTTAATGTATCTAAGCCCAGTGACTGTCAATGAGAGAGCTGTGTAAACTAATAAAGAGGCTGAAGCTCCTTTCTCTGGCCAGTTTAGACATTCAATACTTTAGACACCAATACATGAGTGAGGTACCATATGGTGCAATTATATGGACCTGTGTGTGTTGCAACTCTAGCTAGCATATCTGAACTGTGCATACATAGCATGGCCTACACAAATGTCCACCTATCCTAAAAAAAACTGGCAGAGAAAAATAAATACCCGGTTAAGGAGACCAGCTAATTAATGAGATTGCCTTTTCATTACTATGGGTGTCTTCCGAGTCTTTGATCCTGTGGGTGAGTAGGTTTGGCTCCTTGGTTTAAGTCTATAAGTGGGCTTTTGGCTCAGAAAATAGGTGAGAGTCAGGAAAGTGTCTTAGAGTAACAACGGGCATTGGTCTGTAGTAAATGATGTGCTGACCTCATGTGAGAGAAGATCATCTAGAGGTTCCTATAGGTTGGACTTGATGGACTAATGTCTTTAATCAACCTCAAATACTATGTAGAGCAGTGGTTCTCAACCTTTCTAGGGCCGGGACCCCTTGGTAACATTTGCCATGTAGTGGTGACCCCCAAAGGTTAAAATTTTAGGGATGACGCGACTGCTACAGCCACATCTCGTGGCGTGGCAGGAGAACTGACACTGCTGCGCTAGGAGAGGGCTGAGGAGGACTCTCACCTAGCACAGCAGAAATTACACAGCGACCCACAGCTTGAGAACCACTGGCGTACGCCGTCAAAAAAAACCCAAACACCATAGGAATGCATAGCTAGATTCCTATTGGCTATTTCACTTTGCAATAGCCAATAGCAAATTTGCTATTGCACCCGCCCTTTGCTGCTGTCAATCACTAGAAGAGGACCTGATGGAGCCGCTATCTAATAGCGGGAGACTCCCGGGCGACCCCTGGCAAATCGTCATTCGACCCCCGACGGGGTCGCGACCCACAGGTTGAGAACCGCTGATCTAGAGACAGGCACAGTGTAGGGTTACAAACACTACGCAAGGGGACTATCTATGACCTGAAGCACCATTAACCGGTGAGTGCAGGTGGCCCATACAAGTGCACCTAGGGTCCCCTGGTGCATCTGGAGGTTTTCTGGGATTCAGCAAGTGGTAACTTCAAATAACTGTTCCTGTAAAGACTGCAAAGTGGTCACACTCCTATCAATATAGTATCTATTAATGCTGTATACCGTATATGTTACTAGCAACGCATACAAATGTAATCTGTGTATGCCAAGCCACTACATAGTCCTAGCCATCATATGGCTTCCATTTATGTTCTACTTGATTCAATTTGCTATGACACAGCACGCAAGGACATTCCACAATTATATTTATGTCAGAGAAGTGTAGGGACTCATATTCTTGCAAATAAAAGTTAAGAGCACAGCAATATGGTAAATTGGTAAGATTGTACATTGCTCTTGCGTTACAATAAAAGGTAACAATCTAACAAGTCTATAGCTTTCAGCTTCACTAAAAAATATTGGAAAGCAATATTACTAAGCAGATGTGTTTACTAGCATGATGATTACCCTGAACCTTCCACGACTCAGAATATTGGTTGCAATATTTTCAGAAGCTATATAAACTCTGTTGGCTTGTCATATTTCTTTGGCTGAGAAATAACCAAGCAACGTCGGCCTCAAAAACTGACTGACATGGCTCTTCTACTGAAAGGGGATGAATTTGACAAGCTCCATACTATTTGTTGAGGCTTGCAATGCAAAGTGTTTTTGACTGCTTTGCATTCCCAAATTATTGGTATTGGGTATAAAATTCCAAATTTAAAATGTGTGTGTTTTTTTTAATATTGGTTCTTTAGTATTAGTATTAAATTAATTACATAGTATATACTATTTACATTTGAACGATACCAAAATTGGGAGGGTAATAGAAACAGACCAAGATAGTGTAACATTGCAGGAGGACCTGGATAAAATAGGGGAGTGGGCAACTATGTGGCAGATGAGGTTTAATGTCGATAAATGCAAAGTAATGCACTTTGGACATAAAAATAAACAAATGGGTTATACAATTATGGGTATACCGCTAGGGAAGTCGGAAATGGAGAAAGATTTGGGGGTCATTGTAGACCACAAACTGAATAATAAATTACAGTGCCAGGTTGCTGTAAGCAAAGCCAGTAGAATCTTGTCCTGCATCAAGAAGGGAATATTTTGCTGGGATAGGTCTATAATTGTGCCACTTTACACATCAATGGTTCGGCCCCACCTGGAGTATGCGGTGCAGTTTTGGGCACCGGTCCACAGAAAGGATGTCCTTGAGCTGGAGAAAGTCCAGCGGAGGGCAACCAAACTCATAAAAGGGATGGAGGACCAGAGCTATGAGACACGGCTACTAAATTTAAACATGTTTACGTTGGAAGTAAGGAGATTAAGGGGGGACATGATTTTCATGTACAAAATGTTCCATAGTCATAGCAACATTAGCAACAAACTCTTTGAGATTAATTCCGTAACAAAGACTAGAGGACACCACCTAAAACTGGTAGAAAAAAAATTCGAACACAAGGGGCGAAGGGGTTTCTTCTCAGTTTGCGCGGTTAGGGTCTGGAACTCACTGCCTCAATCGGTAATTTCCGCAATTAATCTGGAATAATTCAAGAGGCTTTTGGACGATTTCCTGAGAGACCGAAATGCACAAGGGTACAGGTACTCTTAAGAATGAGAACACTCATGGACCTATACACACACACACACACACAACAGGTTGGACTTGATGGACTTATGTCTTTTTTTCTACCTCAAATACTATGTAACTATGTAACATTAGGCTATCCTCTTTTCTCTGCACTAATGTATAATTTTTCTTTGATTAACATCTCTCTTTTAGGAATGGTCAGCTTGTGGTCTCTAGCTGTTGTGGCTTTCGAAAGATTCCTGGTCATCTGTAAGCCCATGGGCAGCTTCACCTTCAGAGAAAACCATGCCATCCTTGGTTGTATCTTCACTTGGGTGATTGGGGCTATGGCAGCTTGTCCTCCTCTACTGGGCTGGAGCAGGTCTGGTACTTTTACAATTTTTTAATAGTTCTGTGCCTTTAGTAATTGTAAAAAATAGATAGCTCAAGAGCATGTTTTATTCTGATATTCCATATAAAGTAGAAATACACAGTATATGATCTGCCTTCCCTACTATTATTTATTTTTAAAAAATCAAACGAGGAGAGACTGAAGGTGCATATAACTTAAATAATGTCACTAGCTTGATTGCCCAATCAACGCATCAAATACTTTTGAGCGTTGGGCCACTTAGGCTTTCTTGGGGGACGGTGATAACGAGCAATAATGAACAGCGTAGGCACTATTGGATGAGCCACAATATGCTGTACAATATTCCTAAACATATGAATAGCAATACATTTCTATGATGCATAAACAATATGTCATGGATGAAAGAGTTTTTGGAATATAATGTCTTTACTTTTATTATATTGATCTTGAACTAATGTAGAGAACTGTGCACATATATCATTAACTGTGACCAGGGCCGGATTTCCCACAAGGCCAACCAAGGCCCAGCCTTGAGGTCAGCAGGGAGTAGAGGGGCAGCAGGGGTGTGGAATTCCTATCTTGGCACATGCAGTTCCAGGCACCGGGCGGCTAGTTGTTTTCTACAACTAAAAGCTAGGGATGCACAGATACCTTTCGAGTACCAGTGCCGATACTTGGCATTTTCATGAGAACTACCAGGGTTGCAGAGGTTGCAGCTGGGACCTGGCTCTGGCTCTCCATCACTGTCCTGAAATCATTAGTCTGTATTGTTTTAGAAAAACTGTCACATGACAATAAACAAAAATGTATCAGTACTCGTACTTGTAAGTACTCGGCAAGTACCAGTACTCGTACTCTCAAAACTGGTATCTGTGCATCCCTTTATTTATATTTATAAAATCAAATTCGTACATTAAAACAGAGATGTACAAACCCCAGGAGATCCGTGTGCTCCTTACAAATGACAGCTGCCTCCTAACTTTTGAATTTTTCTCTAGTCTAGTCTTGGAGCTCAAAAGTATCGGTACATGTACTCGTACTTGTACCAAGCACTGTACTTGGTATCTGTGCAACCCTACTAAAAGCAGAGCTAAATGTACAGCGGGGAAGCCGCCACTTGGTGATGTTGCCGAGATCACTTGTATGCAGCGCCTGCAGGTATGCGATTCTCCATGGGTGGGGTGTTGGCGGTTAGGGGGCTGCGTATTGAGGAACCTGGCCTTGGGGCAGCAGAGAGAGTAAAGAGAGTAAATCCGGCCCTGACTGTGACTGTCAATGTGTGTATAAATCCTCTTCACTTTCTGTCTTCTCCACGCTATGATTAAGTGCTTTTTTAGAGCTTAATAAAGTTTTAAAGCAGGATTGATACCAGTTCCATTGGATCGCAGGAATACATTCATAAATGTGCTCCTTTGACCCAAAAGAGGACTAAGTATAAAAAAAGGGTTTGTCTTTAGTTTTCTTTTAAGATAACACAAGTTCTGCAATGTAGGTCCATTGTGCTATCTGCTAATACTTATGTTAGTCATCATTTCTATCTCCATGTCCCTGTCTACCCACTTGAAACTTTTGCCCTGACTGTAAACAGGACCATGATACTTCAGCAGAGATTACCTATAACCATCCTAGCACTAAGCCCTAATTCCTGCCTTCAAGTGTTTAAGGTCAGAACCTCAACTGCCTACTGACATTCTGGCATTTTACAATTGCTTGATGTGCTAAAAGGGGGCTTAATCCTTACAAACCCTCTGTATAGCCTAACCCTAAGTTCTTAGTGACTCCCCAGGGGCACAGGGATGTGTTTTGAAGACTAACACAGATGCTTACAGGCATTACAATATTGAGGTAAAAAAAACATCTTATGTACTGTATAAATGCAATTTTACTTGTTATATTTTACTGCATTTCATATTTTACAGGAGATAGGAAATGAACTGTAATCCATCTTGCCACAATCCTTTATTTCCTCCCTGCCTCCTTTTTTTTTGTCTTTTTCTTCGTCTCTGCAGATACATCCCAGAAGGTCTTCAGTGTTCCTGTGGGCCAGACTGGTACACTGTAAATAACAAGTGGAATAATGAATCCTATGTACTTTTCATGTTCTGCTTCTGCTTTGGGTTTCCTCTGACTGTCATTGTATTTTCGTACGGACGATTGCTCCTCACGCTGCATGCTGTAAGTGGTGCTTATATATATATAGCAATACAGTTGTGAGCAACTAGCACAGTGGCCCCCCGAGTGTAACCTCTCCCCCTTAAATTTAAATAATTATAACACAAGAAAGAAAAACAGGGGTTTTTGAGAGGTATTCTACCACAGCTTCAAATTTTTGTAAAAAATTAAAAAAAATTTCCATAAACCTGTCAGGTTCTACTCATGGAGCAACGGGTTTGTATGGGAGGAAGTAAAAGATCCCGTCGGTCCGGTCGCAAACAATCTCCTGCAGCCACCTTAATGCCCCCTGCTCACAGGCCACCACCGTCGCGTCCTATACGATAGGTTTATGGAAGTTGAAGCATAAGAATATTACAAGATAAGCATAGGCAGCCCTGCCCTCCTGCTCACACCCGAAGTCCCTCCCTCCTATCGTAGCCCCGAGCTCCCTGTGACAAAAACTGGGCGGAGTGCTTTTGTCGGAGAAATCCAACCTCCGCCTACACTCCGTACAGGGAGCTCTACCCATATCAAGCTACTCCCAGTGGGTGATCAGTTTACAATCCCCTGATGAAGCCAAGTTGTGAAACGCGTAGGGATTGGACACACTGAATGAATATTTATTGATCTATAATGAATATGTACAGTATGCTAAATGGGTCTATGCTCCTGTTATAATGATCTCGTTTTAAGTCTATTGCAACTACTTGTTGCTTTCTATACGTATATTTATAGCATATATTAAATTTTAAAAAAATTACAAAAATTTTAAGCTGTGGTGGAATACCTCTCAAAAACCCCTGTTTTTCTTTCTTGTTTTATGCTTATATATATATAATTAATAAAAAAAACATGTAGTAAACGTATTGCCATACTCCAGTGAATTAAGTAAGAAAAATACTTTCCACAATCAATGTACATCAGTTGGAAGTGGTATGTTACCCTTCCAGTGGCGTATCTACAAGGAGTTTGAATGTTTTCCCTGTGCTTGTGTGGGTTTCCACCAGAAACTCGAGTTTCCTCCCACACTCCAAAGAAATGCTGGTAAGTTAATTAGCTCCTGTCTTATTTGGCCTTCGTATGTATGATAGGGACCTTAGATTGTAAGCTCCTTGAGGGCAGGGACTGATGTGAATGTGCACTGTGTAAAGCGCTGCATAAATTATTGTCGCTATAGAAATACCAATAATAAATATGACTGCAGCTCTACCATGGTGGTACAAAGAGGAGTAGAATATGGTGAAACTGTATATAGTATTGAGGAAAAATCATTAAAAATAGAATCTAGTCAAACATGAAACTATTTTATTTTCAGTGAGTCATAGTGGCTGTATCCTGGAATTTACTCACTGTCTCAATTAAATCCTTCAACTGGAACCTCTGACTGCTCTATTCTACTCAGTACATTATAAGTTTTAAAACATACACAGTGATTGCTGGGACAAATTCTGGTTTGTACTGGGTTTCACTATTTGTACCTTACACAAAGTTGGCCTGGCTGTCAAACTGAGAGCTACTCCACACAAATGACATCAGGAGAGCAGCCCTGACCGTGTAAAGTGTGGGACTTGGATGTTACTTTGACATCCGAGTCCTGCCATGTGTATTCGGAACACTATCGGCAACTATTTTAGGAAGGAAGTCTGCAAAAGATTTTTGGTAAATAAAAGTTGTTCCCCTTTATTAACTCAAAATAAACTCTAAATAGTTCCTATAAGCACCTTCTTTTCTTAGTTTTTTTTTTTTTTGCTGCTTCATTTTTTTTTCAACATTCAGATGTGAACATTTTATTGACCATTTCCTTAATTTTTTTATTCACCACATTAAAAAATACACAACAAGCCACTATTTAATTTGTAAAAATGTCACCATGCTTTGTTTCAGAAACATAATTTTGCCACCTACTTGGCCGTGAGGGAAGGGGGGGGGGGGTGCATTGGGCCTTTTTTTCTCTTTAAAAAGTTCCAGGATATGCTTAAGTTGTTGGGGCCTCCTGAATGGATAAAATAAATGTTTCTGAGCTAAAGCAACTAAAGAAACTTTGTTTTGAGCTAGGTAGCAGTTGGTTGTAAAAATACATGGCTAATTATGGTTTCATTAAATGCAGCAAAAATAGGTTACATTTATTCAATTATGTTATGGATTTTTTAGTCTATAAATTGAATGTTGTTGATATTTTGCTTTAAATAGATAGATAAATAGCAGCTAAATACTAGTGTGTAGTACAGCCCATGTATCATTCATGGCCCTGAATCTGAGTCTAGAAAAATGCAAACTAGGGGGTTATTAATTAAGCTGGTGAAGGCTGCGGAATGAATAGCAGAGCCGAAATTAAGTGAGCGGAAGCCTTTTCGGCTTTTCACTGCAGCCGTGTATGGCTATTCTTAGCCATACATCGGCTGCATTTGGCGCACTTCACCTCCCTTCGGGCCTCAGCTGGACTGGCTGAGGTGAACGTTCGTCAGTTCCTTCCCTGCTGTTCACCCCTATTCTCCTCAGAGGTAGCAAACAGACCCTTTAGGTCTGGTAGGAATGTTAGAGGGGACCCCCCAATGTCACTATTTGGTGAATGAGTAGGGGTAACAACTACCCCTTACTCATTCACAAGGGGGGCCCCACATCTGGGTACCCCCTTTATGAAAGGGGCACCTAGATGCAGATGATCCCCCCCCCCTCTGCTGCCCGCATCCCCCCCCTTTCCTGCCCTGCCAGGCCACTGCTTTAAGGGTCTAGTATGGGATTTAGGGGGGACCTCCACATTTTGCTTATTTTTTGGCATGGGGTCGTCCCTAACATTCCTACCAGACCTAAAGAATCTGGTATGAATTGGGGAGGGGAGCCCCATACTGTTTTGGTTTTTTTAATTCAATTTTTTGACACAAGCAGTCATTCGGTCCGCTCCCTGGTCTGGCTGTTGGTTTGGCGTTGCCGAGTAAAAGCAAGCTTGGCGGTTTACTTTGGCTGCCTTCCACTGTTGTATGTGCTAGCGTTTCTGCAGTCAAAGCGAGCCGAAGGATTATCTGAACGTTCGGCTAAATCCTTTGGCTCTTTAGTGAATAACCCCCTAGGTGTTCCTAGGTTCTGAGCACTGACTACTCTCTCAGCCTATTGTAGCCTTCACTTACACTTACCAGCTATGACACTGATGTTGCAAAGCATGAAATCATGCAGTCCACACAGAAAAAGCTGCTGAATCTGGGTGCAATGGATTATAGAATACCAAGCAGTCTTTCTAACTGCATCATAGCTGAATAATGCCCTGAACTACTTAAGGTGTTTTTTTTTTTTAGCATTTCTGTGTCACCCACTCTCTGTAGGATTCACCAATTTAGTTTATGAAGACTCTACATCTCCAAGTAAAAACGGAATTACAGCTTTAAGCAGCAACTGAGCTTCTGAAAGTGTGGCAGATTTTTTTCTCATGGTCATGTAGAGTTGTAAAACTTGGCAGGGATTCAGTCTCTTTCACCACCAGCAACTGAACTGACTTTTTTGTTGCAGTTAAGCTTTCAATTTAAAAAAATCAATGTAAAAATAAACATGTTGAACAGACTTTCTAGCAGAATAACACATTAAATTAGATCCAGAAAACAGTAAGTCCCCCTGCACTCCCTGCAGTGTTCCCCCCCCAAGTAACAATCGTGGTGCTCGAAGTGACGATCACGGATGGTGCCGTGCACAGCAGTCAATGGAGGATATAAATCACCAGCACTCAGCAAATGAAGTTCAAAAAATAACATCCATTTATTTGGACCAAAACGTCACACATATCGCATAATCCAACATTTCGGGACCACGCAGGGTCCGTTCATCAGGGCAGAGATGTCACATCACGCCTCACCACATCTCTGCCCTGATGAAGGGATCCTGCGTGGTCCCGAAACGTTGGATTATGCGATATGTGTGACGTTTGGTCCAAATAAATGGACGTTATTTTTTTAACTTCATTTGCTTGTGATTTCTATCCTCCATTGACATTAAATTAGATGTCGCATGAAAAGAAACAGAGTGTTGAATGTTGCATTTGTAAATATTTGAAACTTACCACCATTATTTGGTCTTTATAGGTTGCAAAGCAACAGGAACAGTCAGCCACCACGCAGAAAGCTGAGCGAGATGTGACCAGGATGGTGATTATGATGATCCTTGGATTCTTGATGTGCTGGCTTCCCTATGCCTCCTTTGCTTTGTGGGCCGTAACTCACCGTGGGGAAACGTTTGACTTGCGTATGGCTTCCATCCCATCTGTATTTTCCAAAGCCTCCACTGTATACAACCCATTTATCTATATTCTCTTGAACAGGCAGGTGAGTTTGCCTGAGATGAGTTCTATTCATATTCTACGGCGTCTTGTTTTTCTAAGTTTACACTGGAAACGAGTTAGGAATAGCTTATATGCAGACTTTGAGATCTCATTCACATCAGTTTGGTGTGATAACACTCATTAGATTAGCAGTAGGGTTGCACAGATACCAAGTACAGTACTCAGTACAAGTACGAGTACATGTACCGATACTTTTGAGCTCCAAGACTACACTAGAGAAAAATTCAAAAATTAGGAGGCAGCTGTCATTTGTAAGGAGCACACGGAGCTCCTGGGATTTGTAGATCTATATTTTAATGTACGATTTTGTTTTTATAAATATAAATAAAGGGATGCACATATACCAGTTTTGCAAGTACGAGTACTGGTACTTGCTGAGTACTTACAAGTACGAGTACTGATACATTTTTGTTTATGGTCATGTGACAGTTTTTCTAAAACAATACAGACTGATGATTTCAGGACAGTGGTGGAGTGCCAGAACCAGGTTCCAGCTGCAACCGCTGCAACCCTGGTAGTTCTCATGAAAATGCCAAGTATCTGCACTGGTACTCGAAAAGTATCTGTGCATCCCTAATTAGCAGTGCCATTTATTTTTAATGTCTTCTGAATGCACATGTGATAAAGCATACTCCATCATTCACTGAGGTGCACCATGGTGAAAAAAAACAAAATAGAGCGGCAGTGATATCTTGTGCATCTACGTAGCCAACAATTGCCAATTCTACTGGTAGATGTCCTGAACTAATATGATATCTTAACGTGCAGTAACGCAGCATACCACATGGCATGGTAAAGCCTTTTGCTCTAGTGTGAACAGGCTCTTAAGGACTATAGTCTTACATTTTTTTTGCCTTTTCAATGTTCCTTTCTTTTATGGCAAGTCAGAACTGACCTGATTGGAAACAACAGGCTTTCTGTAAGCTTTCAGCTGAAGTTTAGATTCACTGCTCTTGTTATAATGTGCAACACTTCACTGTTTGCCCTCCTCTAGCACTGACCAGCTCAGAGCTATTCCTTGCTGTCCCTCCATACACCACCATTGCCATTTTTTCCCAATCTTCCTCCAGGTTCCTGCCACTCCTCTTCACCCATTAGGTGAAAACTGATAGTCCTAGTGCCCGACTCCATTCTGGGAATTTTACAGATGGCTGGAATGGTCCAGGAGTGTAAACAGCAATGCACATGCACTGCAGACAGTATATGCTAAAAAATAAAAATAAACTTGTGCTTGCACTGAATTGATTTAAACAGTCAATAAAGGAAATCTTTATTGAATCCTTCTAAAAATGCAAGTTGATTGGCTTTCATGCTGACCTTTTATACATTATGAGTCACTGATGTGGAACAAGCATGTAGAGTAGAAAGTCATAGTGAAGAACTCCTGACCTTCATACTCGTTCCAGATTAGAAAGTAGTGAAACAATTGGATCAGCCAGCCAGATGGTATGTTTTAGGGGAGGTAAACAATTGCAGCTTCTATAGAACATAACAGGATGTCAGTACAGGTTTTCCTTAAAGAGAACCTTGCACTAAGTTTACTTTGCCACCCCCTCGCGAAGCAAAACAACTGCAATAAAAAAAATAAAAGCTATAGGGAAAAAAAGTCAATAGATAAACTCACCTTGTCCAGCTCCTTCTGACAAGATCTCGGGTCATGCAGAATAGGCCAAATCCCTTGAGATGATGCCTTAGTACAGTGCAGAAGCTTGAGCTACTTGAGCTACTCTCCAGCATTCTCCAGGATTTATCCGGAAGGAGCATGAGGACAACCTCAGCTACATGTTGTAGGTGGAAGCTGAGGTAATGGTAATTATTTTCTTCTATTTTTTTTTTTTTTTATTATTATTATTCATTGCATCATTTTGCAAATGGGGAGCAAAGTAAATAAGCAGACCTTGTGTTTTTATTGCAAGGCCTCTAATAGGCAGAGGTGCTAGTCACATTCTCGGATATGCAGGTAACAGCTAGAGGGAGTATTTACAAATCTTCTGTATATAAAAAAACGGGAGGCAGCAACTCAGCAAGCAAATAGAAATCTGAAAATGGAAAATCTAGCTGTAAGCTACTTATAGACTTTAGATTATGATTTCATCAGGATCCGATAACGATCTGCTACTAATCCAATAAAGAATTCAGCAGATAAACTCATCTGAGATTAAAAAGTTTGCACTAATCTAAAATAAAACAAATAAGAAAGCCTGGTGCAGCTCTTTTTTAAATGTTCTTAAACACCTTTCCAAAATATTAAAATCAATACTCAAGGTGAAACCACTTGAAACGTGTTTTAATTCAAATAAACATTTAAACACAAAATTACTTTCCCTACATGGAACTTGTATAACTTGGTGATAAATAAACAGAAAATATCTTCAGCTATAACAATGTTGCAATCACAAACCTATGCCCAGGTATAAATAAAAGTATTTATGCCAAAATAATCTGTATGTATAGTCTCAATTGGTATCCTCTTGCCACTGTCGCGAGCAATACTGCTGTAATAGTTGCACCAGTAAAGAAATGATAATAGGAATCAGCAATGGAAAAGGTTTTTGTACCCCCTGGCTTTATATATGTTGAGGCAGCAGAAACTGACAAATATTTGTACATATTCTTCATAATTCTCTCTTCCTCCAGTTCCGAACCTGCATGATGAAGCTGATCTTCTGTGGAAAGAATCCACTTGGCGATGATGAGGACACCTCTGCCTCTGGATCTACTCAGGTGACCTCTGTGTCCAGCAGCCAGGTGGCTCCTGCATAACACCAGACACATACAGCTCCTGTTCTGCCACGTCTACTGCCACGGCTATGTGCCCTCAAATGCTTCCAGGTGACATCGCTTTCTTCCAGGAACCCACACTCAGTTACTCCATAAACGTTTAAAGAAATAATGTTTCTCAACTCAGCCATGTAGCCATTAACCCATCAGGAATTACTTCCCTAATCCTTCCCTCCATAGACAGAAAACATGGGACCCAGGCGTCAGAGTATTTGGTCATAGGCCATGTGAGGGTGTAAAATCACACAGAGGCATGAAGTATGAGTAAGAAATCATTCCAATACTATCACTAGTCCCAAAATTCATGCCCCTCCCTATGAGATGGAGCTGTCACATTGCCATTCCATTTGGTTTGTAGCTTTTTTGCTTTAAACACATTGTGAGGTCTTCGAGATAAACATTATTTCTAAGGACTGATTTCAGCAAGGGAAGTGGTTTCTCAATATATATAGGAGGTATTATAACTTTTGTTAACATGGCATTATTTTTTTCTGTACCCTGCCAATGCCTCTCTGTCTTTCACTAGCTCAAATTGTAGTAAAACCTGCTCATTTTTTTTTTTGTTGCCATTAATTGAAGCCCCCCAAATGAATCTAATAGATGAAGAAATATTGCAACAATGAGGCCCTCCATAAATCTATAGTACATAACTAGACCAAGAAAAGGATAAGATAAGAATAAATTTACACTTTCGTAAAGAGAAAAATTGAAAATTCAGTCAATAGGGGCAAGTTTTTGGCTGAATATAGTGAGTTATATATAACTCACTATATTCTATATATATATAACTGAATATAGTGAGTTTGTAAAATACTTTTTGTCTTTTGTTTTCTTTACTGAAGGTGGTTATTAAAATTTTAGCCATTGTTTTCAGGCCACAGTATATATCATCAATGTCCACGGAAATTACATTTGACCCTTATATCAGCAGTAGGTCATAAAACTTCTTATTTGTGCTGCAAAATACTTAAAAAGAAACTTGATGTAAACATGTATTGTCTGCTATCATATAATTTATGGCCAACATTGGATGGCAGGCCTCATAAGTTGGCATTTCATACCTATATTTTGACAGCTCGCCTGCCACCAGGGCATTGCTTGTCCAAGAACACCATCATCAATTCCAGGTTAGGTTTTTCTGACTCCCATGAGGTTTCTGAAATACTTAAGAGAAAAAGCCCAACATATGCTGCACATCAGGAAATACATTCTTAGATTGATAGTGGAATAAATGACAAAGCACTCCTGCAGCAACTCAAGATATTTTTGGCACATATGTCGAGTAAAATGTTTTGATCCAGATACTGTAGTTGTTGCAGTTGGGTGTGTGTTACTACTAGATTTCATAATTATCTGCTTACCCCCTTTTTGTAATCTAGATTTGGGGGCAATTTTAATGGTATACCAAGAATGAGCCATTAATCCACCATGTTCATTAACCCTTCTCTTTCTGTAATACTAACACTGTTCTGTATGACCTTCAAGAGGGAAATAACATGTTTGAAATTGTAAATACATTTCCTTAGGGCCCCCCAGCTTGCATCTCTAATCCTTTTTCCTTAGGGTACAGTTTAGTGAATAAAAATTGTAATTTCATTAAATAAACTTATCAGATGCATCTGTCACTCTCGCTGTCTGCTGTCTCCTTTTCTTCTATTCTCGCTAACTGGATCTATTTTATTAGGTTTACATAGTGCCTACAAAATTTGTGCAGCATATGATTCACCTCAGCTCTTGAAAAAAACATACTATGGCCAAAATGATTTAAAGCCAAGTAAGTATACTTAAGTTTTGAGAGAAAACTGAACCCTCCAGTGGAAATGAATGAATGCATAGGGAAGACACTTTGGGGCTGATTTACTAAAAGGCAAATAAGCTGTTCACTTTATAAGGGAATTTTCACTTTGGGACATTTTTCTGGGAATTTTTCCTTAGCTTAGTGAATGTGGTGAGAATTATTTTTGCAAAGAATACCTGATCACAATCAAGGAAAAATAAACAAAACAAAAAAACAGTATTTTTGCTTGCACATGATTGGATGATGGAAGTCAGCAGAGCTTAACCTCCACTAAGCTAAGGAAATTTTTCTTTGCAAAATGAACAGCCTATTTACCTTTAGTAAATCAACTCTACAATGTCCATGCAACACAACATCCCCACAACTCCATTTACGCCCAATGTACTAAACACTTTGCAGATATAACTTTCTGCTTCCAACTAACACCACAATTGTTTGCTCTCATTCCTAAAATGTAGACCAAGGTGTGGAACCTGCAGTGTTGGTTCACCTGTTATGTGCATAATGCTCCAGTGAACACTCCGTGATAGATGGAGTAACCAGTCAAATGACCTTGACAAGTATGACTGGGCTCCCCTCTTCCTGACTTTTGTGCATTAAAGGAAATAAAGCAAGTGAAGCACTGAAGCACATTTCTTTATACATGTGCCATTTTTATAACGTAGTGGTATGCCCATTGTAAGGCCATACGGCTGCTTTATAAATTGGCCCTCTTTATAATTTGTAATTTAATACATAATGGTAGTAATAACATTTGTACATTACAAACACATTGCTTTTCTAGCTGTATCCACTTATCTCATTGCAGGTCAACAGGACAGAGTATATCTGATACAAATAATGGACTCTCTACAGTTCTTAGTAATGTAAAACATCCACAGTATGTGACCTAAGCTCTTTAAAACCTATTTTCAGGCAGTAAATAAATCATTAAATATCCCCTCCCCCCCCTACCCTAGAGAATGAGATAACTTACCCTTGATCCAGGGTCCCGGGTTCCGTTAAAATGCATATATTAGAAAAGTTTTAGCTGCAACTGGATTTGCAATGCCGGTAATCCATTTTCTGCAGTGTGGTAGAGGTTTGTGGCTCACAAGACTGGCTTGTCAAAATTACAAATCCATTGGCAGGTAAAACAAATCACATCTATATGTATTTCAACTATATTTAAAACCCATCTTCAGACAAAAATAAAACCCCCAAACCACCCCATCATTTTTTTTGAATCCACTATCATGTGACCCTCCACGGATCACATCCCCGGTAGTTAAACTTGTTGCTACACTGATATTATCATGCCACCATTAGAGTCTTCAGAACACTTTGAGGACCCTGAGAATGGACAGCCAATGGAAAATGCCCACATCACTAGGAAGCAACATGGGTATCTGAAGAAGGACTCCAACTTTTTTATTTATTTATTTTGTTAATTACTAATATTGGAGGGTTTGTTAGAGGGTGTTCAGGGTAATGTTTTGTGTGAGGGATCCTGGACAGAGAGGAGCTTTATCTGTTTGCTTGGAGTTACACTTTAAGGTTGCGGGCTGAAATCAACACCAGCATGGAACAAACATGTAAACTCCATGCAGAAGGTGGTTAATTGTAGAAACTCCTCACAGGAACTCCACTTTGGAAGGCTCATCTATTTCCTGGTTCTACACTTTTCCACTCTATTTTTTTGGTCCCATTATTGCTTCGGTTAACAGTATGTGTTACCCGTCTTCTTGTTGGACAGTGAAATAGCTGTGCGATGATGCTGATTCATTCTCCAATGAGCAGGCTGAAGGAGAGGAGGTGACAAGTGAAAAGCGGCAAGGATTAAATTAGACATGGGGTGTTTCATGCCTAGCTGTGTAATGTGGTAGTCTCTCTGCGGGATATGTAAACAAACATTAAATGGCATACTCTAACTTTAAAAATATAAAAACTTGAAGCAGATGGGCTACCGCCACAGAAGACCACACCGGGCGCCACTCCTGTCAGCTAAGAACAGGAAACTGAGGCTACAATTTGCACAGGCTCACCAAAATTGTAAAATAGAAAATTGGAAAAACGTTGCCTGGTCTGAGGAGTCTCAATTTCTTTTACGACATTCGAATGGTCGGGTCAGAATTTGATGACATGAAAGCATGCATCCATCCTGCCTTGTATCAACGGTTCAGGCTGGTGGAGCTTTGCATCATGTTCTGAAGACAAAAAGGGGTCCAACCCAGTACTAGCAAGGTGTACCTAATAAAGGGGCCAGTGAGTGAATATGATTGTCTAGGCTGGCTCAGGTTCCCCTACTTTGTTGTTGGAGATATTTATATTTATCATGTACAGCCAGCAAGCCTGTAATTGGACTGCTTGTTTAGCTCACAAAAAAACAGATTCAGGGGATGAGTACAGTCCCCAGTCTTGCCTTTAGCTCATGCTGTATAGCTAGAGGAACCATGTGGAGTTTGTTAGAGAGAAATAATCTATAAGCGAGTAGCTAGTCCTGAGCTATCCCATTAAAAAGCCCAAAATGCACTGTGAATAAAGTGTGGTGGAAGCATCCTGTAGCAAATGTTTTTTTCCTGTTCCTCTGGAACCTTTTCTCCTATATCTTTCTCTTATACTCCTCTCTCTACTTTCTTCTCTTGTTCTTGCTCATTTATTTGTTTCTTTTATTCTTACTGTTTGGCAATTTACCAGTGATGGGCTTGTTTTCTGCTTTTATGAGCAGGCTTCACTTCATTGTTCTCCATGCGTTGATAATTTCCGAATTTGGAGGCCCTTGGGTGGTGTCTTGATGTTAGAGCTCTTACCATTTTGAATTGAATTGCACTTTTATGCATGTTCTTGAAGCCCATGTATTATATTTGTATTTCGGCTTTTCCATTTCCAATAAAAATGATTGAGACAACATTGAGACTTCTAAAAAGAAGATTATTTA